TTTTTTTTGGAATTTTAAATGAATGATTTTGCATTGAGCTTTGGGTGAAAATATCGAAAACACAAACAGTTTCCGTTTTGTGGAGTGTTTCACCTCTATGCCTTTCAAATATTTGGTGATCTGAATTAATGCTGTACTGTATGTGGACACCGCTTAACCTTCACTGTGTCAGTGAGTTCCTTAGGTTATCTACATTAACATTTTAATTATTTGACTGGCCAAACAAGGGAATATACAGTATTTCCAACGAATTTAAACAGCGTTCATGAGTTTTACGCGAATCACCTTCTTACCGCTTGTGTGTTCCTGCCTTATGTATTTGAAAGCGATTGACATTTGCAGTACTTATTTACAAAAAAATGGCTTGGTACACAAGGATGTAACCATTTAAAAGGAAAGCAATGTCAATCAATCAAAGCAAATCAGATACCCGTTAATTTCCATATTGATTGCTTTCTTCGAGTCGGGAATGGAAAGGATGCACTGAGCGACCTGTGATATTGACAAGATTTCTTGAGACTCCATCCCTCCTCTCCAGACTAATCCTGTAACACATATATTTGTATATGCTGTCTTTGGTTTGTTTTTATTCATTTTTTATTAATATAATTGTCTCACTTTTGCGAATCACTAAAGCGGGGCAGGGCTCATACGAAGTTGTTAGTGTTTTTATTATTGAAACATCGACCCCTCCCTGAACCGTAGACCTGATAAGATCGCATTGGTATTTGGAATAAGTATGGAAATGGACTAAGGTGTTGTCCAGATCGCTTATCACATTAAGTTGCTGATGCTTCATAAATGAACTTCACCTTTTGGTATACTGGCCACGTTTGAAAACGAACCAAAACTATATTTTTTCTATGTTTACGTTTCCTAGTTGAGTTTATTATCTTTTCGAATTTGAAAACTTAAAAAAGATTTTAAATAAACAAATAATATTACCAGATGCCGATGTTTCCTTCTGTTAAAAATGCATAGCAAGGCATGGTGATCTTGGTTATTGGCCAGAAATTTGGGTCAAAATTATTTCATTTGACATGGTATAAAACGTCCAGATGTAGAAACGGGTCGAGCAATATTACGTCAGTGGCAGAATTTGGATTGGCGGGAAAAATCCCGGTTAGAATACTTGAAGTTTATCTAGATTTAGATATGAGAGCAAACTGCCCCCCAAAAAACAGAGACAAATGTCACTGATTCATGTTTATTTTCCGGGTGCGTGCCGAGGAAAGATAACGAGATGGAGATCAATTGTTGCAACCAGTCAAATAATGCAGTTTGAGGAATATCAAGAAAATGTGAAACAGATAAAGTAGGATCAACGAGAACATCCACCGTGCCCCTAAACTGTGGCGTTCATTTCACACTTAGCTTAAATCAGCAGGTGCACCAAAGCTTGTTCCTATTTGCCCTAAATTCATTTTATTTATTTCCTTATCATAGATAATAATAGACAAAGGTCACCTTAAAAAGAACCTTACCTTTATGTCAGCGATTATTTTTCTCCTGAACAAGACACAGGTATGTAAAAGGTGAAGCTGGGTGACCCTAGCGCACATGCTTGCGGCCTCCGTACCGCACACAAGGCATAATTCATTTATGTGTTTTTAAGGAATTCCACATGATATACAGTACAATTGTGGATATGAATCATCCATAGTTAAAAGTACGGAGACATTGTCTTAGAGGACAAGATTTTAATGATGAACAGCCATGTAAAAAGCAAATATTTCATATCAGAAAAATAAAGCTCTGTTATTTGAGTAGTTTGACCTGCAGCGATGAATGTGACAGTCAGGACATACACGTATCAAAAAAGAAGCTATTTCTGCCCACCAAAGAAACGATGATACGATTGATAAGCATGTTTTGTTGATAATTAAATGAAATAGTGAAGTCTTACCTGCAGCAAAGGATATTTAATACCTGCAGTTGCAGGTTTATTAATGAAATATAAGACAAATGCTGTACTTTCTTCTTACAAATCCTCCGATCTCACAGTTCTGTACCTGGTACTGAAATTAGCCTCAAAAAATTTCTCTTCGTCAGTGTCCTATGAAGTGCATCAGAATCAACTGTATATGTCAACTACTCGAATGTTCAGGCTGGTATTATATTCCCCTGTGTTTTCACTTTAACGAGAAAGTTTTTTCTAAAACGAAATTCCTACTGGGCGAGAGAGTCTTATCAGAGTCGCACGCCCCCCTCCTCTCGGAATGTCTCCTGTCCCTTCCAAAGAATGAAATCAATTACAGTGAAATGAACATATTTGTTAGATTTCCATACAACTGTGCGCGCATATCTCAGGAGCCTCTTTCACCAGTTTGATACTAATTGCTCCCCCCCCCACCAACCTAACTAATTCCACGATTAATCATATTGTAAGGTTAAAGCTTTTAAATGGCGATATAAGACAGGATGGATTATATTTAAAAAAATACAATAAAATACATGTACAAAGAATTAGCCCACTGAATATTTCTGGTTGAAATCTTGAGCCGAGAAAAGAGGGTAGTTTGTATGTGTGTCTGTTGTAGTCACGTAGGAATTCACTCAAAATGTGTTACGCACCGGCAGTCATTTGTGATATGCAAGGAAAATAATGTCAAAGAAAACCATCAGACGATCTCTGCCCCAGGTTAATCTCATAATTTGTATCCAGATTGTCCTGATACAATCCGTCCTCAACACCCTGAGATTCAGATGGTGACTTCTCTCTACCCATCATAGAATTTACCTTTCTGTTGTCATGTTAGTGTGATGAGTACACTAAAACTCAGGGTGGCTGAACGCATAGTGCAGTATTACGTCATCTGTAGCATACGCGCCTACAGACTAGGGCAGAAGGCTGCTCTCATGTAAGCTTCGTAAATTCCAATTACACATACTCACATAAAAAGCAGTGGTTTATGCTACAGTGTTAAATGTAATGTGATAACAGCATTATTTGCATATACTAATTACCTTGCCCAACCTGCTGTCACAGACTGGCGACATTTGGTAGGATTTCACTGCAGTTTATAGATAACCACTTCATACACACGTTAACGGTTGCAAATAGTCTGTACATGTAGCAGTACAGATGACTGAGGAAAGTGAAATCATTGATATACGGTCTATTTAAACTAGTACTATGCATTTGCGTCTGTAGTCTTCGGCTATGTACCCGTGTATTTTTTAACTGTTAAGGTAATAGATAGAAAACCGTGTTGCTTTTTATCCTCAAACCTAGTGGAGTGATTCACAGCAATAAAAACAGGACAAGTTTAAATAGCAATCTGATTGGATTGTTATTGTTGAAGTCATGCATGTCTTTCTTTCCTTCTCTCTTTTATTTTTTGAAATTTTACTTATTGGCATTTTCAGGAACAGCTTTGAAGTCCCATAAAAGTCCCATAAAATTAATAAAATTAAAAAATTGCCTATATTTGGCAAAATAGCTCTTATTTAAAATACTATTAGCGCAAATAGAAGTAAACACTTTTAGAGCTCATATTTCCTTTCTTTTGCTTTATTCACCACCCCATTCCCAGTGCCATGCGTTAATTGTCAATTTGGCTGCTTTTAATTAATGATATTAATTGCTAAGCTTTCACCCTCAGCTAAGCTTTCAGTGCCCATAATACGGGTTCTCCTCAAGCATCTTACACGATGACCCATCATTCCCCATACGGAACACCACCACTTGCAGTACAATTCCGACGGCAGGCATCCCCTCTTTTCCTACACTTAGGAATGAACGGTAGGGCAGCCCTGTCTGTCAAAAACAGCCAAAAATGGAGTTCATGAGAGACAGCTTACAAAAAAGAGATGTAACTGAAAACAGAATTTCAATAAATGGAAAGTAACATCAATAAACTCACTGGAGATTTGAAAGAAATGAAAACAAAATTGGAGACATTGAAGAAGGCGTGCAAACACTTGATACGACGTTTGAAAGATTTTGATTAGAAATTGAGAATGTGAAACAAATTGTAAATCCTTTGACTTGACACTATAACGTCAGTATAGACACCATCAGGCCCGTAGCCAGGGGGGGTTCGGGGGGTTCGAAAGAACCCCCTTTTGCTTNACCTCCCCTTTGAAATTGCTGGCTACGGGCCTGCACCATCCTTCCTCCAAGAAATGTCAAGAAATTGTCTAGTACAAAATAATGCTGCATTCACGTGCCTAATAGGGAGGGAGAGCATGGGTGCCATTTTCAAGTATAGTTCTCGGATATAAGGTTTCACTGTGTTATTACACCTATCACAACTGTAGCCTGTTCAAAGCCTCAGTCCATAATTTACTAGTTTTGTGCACTACTACCACACTGGAATAGAGTCCACAGCAGGACACACCAGCAGAGAGTGGGACTTCAGTTTATTACTCAACAGACCATTTCACAAAATATTTATGGGTGGGTAACATTTTATGCAAAACTAATACAGCAAGCATTCAACATACTTAGAGATGCCCCCTTCCAGTATCTCTGTTTACCTCGTCCCTAACATGAAAATATGTGACTTCACTTTTCTCATGACTCGCTTGTGATAACATGATAGACACCGTAATACTATGGATCATGATTTGCAACAAATGTCAGACATTGATTCTATTAATTCCAATGATAATGTCACTGTTCTGACTATACCTTCCAGATGATAAGATATCTACCACTATCAGAGAGTTAGGACAATAGCATGACTATCAGCCCGATAACGCCTTGGTATTTAATGGAAAATATCGTATCTACTGTTCTGACTTGTCACCGTGCCGGCCAACATGAGGACCCTTATACTTGCTGTCGTGCTGTTGGCGGGGATAGCCTACTCCCAAAAGCCTAAGCCATGCATTACACCACCTCAGTGGGCGGTAGGTTGAAATGAGAAGATTCTATGTTTTGAAATATTAATATTTGACACAAATTGTATATATAAGATACACCGAAAGAAATGTAAAAAAGATTTGTATGTCGATGAGCCAAATTTTTAACACACATAAGCTTATAATGTGTAGTATGAGGAAAAGGACAGAAAATTCACCAGTTTCATTACGTCTTCAACTTCAATTATTTGGACACTTATAAAGTGTTTATATTGTGTTTTCTTAACTCATTCTTCAGTCCCGGGCGTTTATGTTCGACCATAACTATGGGAACATGGAATATATTAGAATCGTCTATGACGCCATCTATCGACGAAAGATCGTCATCGAGGAGGACGTTGTCGTAAGACCAGGAAGAAGGTTTGACCAAATTTTCAAAATAAGTTTATAATCTCTTTAAAAGATTTTCATATCACATATTTGATAACAAATTCTTATGACAGACCTCACTTAGGTATGTCATTTAATAGATTGCTTCTTGATAGGTATTGGATTATACATTATAAAGCTATTTCGTATTTGCTTAATAATTTTTCATTGTAACAGGAAATCACATTGATTGAATTGTTTTTGCACCCTGAACGTAAAGCGAAAAATACTTGCAAGTAAGAAAAATATTTAAGTTAATTAATTGTACTACTTTTTGTGAGAGTTTGTAAGTAAAGAATATAGGCGTGTCAAATATTTGAGTATAAAAGCAATGGTAACAAAAACTACAGTGCGCTAAAAATAACAAGGCTCATTTGCGCACACTACTATTGTGCCTCAGAGCTTTAATCCTAACAATGAAAAACTATAATCGTTTTCATTCCCAGATTCTACGAATACCTCAGCCTCAACGACGTACACGAGTTGTTCAAAATCAATTTGAAAACCAAGGAATGCGTGAAGATGAGACCAAGGCACTGGCGTCCATTTGGAATTCCACCCAACTCCACTTTTGACAACGAGTTTGAAATTGGTGGACCAGGCGAGGCTTTCACCGCCCAACAGTGGACTGATAGAATCCCTGGATTCAAAAGTTTGTGAAAATTTGCTTAATAATTGAAAATATTTAAAAAAATTCTGCTGCATATAGGTACATGTTCATACATTTGGTATACCCCTAAACTTAATATTTTCATAATCACCCCAGTTTTCAACCAGTAATGCCTTGTATGCTTTAACTATAATCACTTCACAGTTTATTTACTTCGATAAATTATAATATAGAAGTAAAATGATGTATGATTGGTGAATGGAAAAAGGCGACTTTGCCCTAAAACAAATCTTTTTTCTTATTCAAGTATTAAAGAGCATCAGCTTTATATCATAAAATCGTCCTCTTCACCTTTATTGGTGATTGTTTCTCTGTATTTCAGCTGCGGAATGGATTGGAGTTTACAGCCTGAAATACTGCTATCCAGTTCACGAGACCTTCTTCAATCGCCTCAACATATCCGAATCCAACACAGTCAACTTCTACGACATCGTCGCTGGCATCCCCGACCCAGACATGTTCATACCTCCTCCGGAGTGCAAAACCGCCAAATGGGTCGATGAAACCGATGATCTGCCCGCCTACGTCTAAGAAACTTTTCACCTTCAAACATTTTGATGAATTATTAGAAATCAAGGAATCCAGTGAAATCAAACTAAAACTCTCATGCCATAGACGCTATCCTATTTTCCGAGGCACTCCTGACACTTTGTACTAAAGAATGTTATAAACTGTTTCTTTTATTTACTGATTATTGTCTTTTATTGGAATTAAAGCACCTCTTATCAAAGATATGTTTATGTTCCTCCTCAATAAAGTGTTTTGTTTAAGATAATGGCAGTGTTGTTCAACCCAACACATTAAATGACTCTAGAGAAAATCTCATCTGTCGCATAAAAAGTCACAAAATATTAATAACGTAAAACTGAGTACTTTTGGCATACAAGGATAAAGTAAACTTGATGCATATATATTTGAATAAAACGTTACGGTATAGGGGTTTTGGTTCAACTTCAGCCAAGCCGTTTTCATGCATAACGTTCCAGACATCACATACGGCGACATTTTCACGTATTTAAGTAAATGGCGTTCTTTCGTCAGCCTGAAGGTCTGTGCTCGTCTTCTCCATTACACATGCCCAAAATGTAGTCACGATATTCTTGATTATGCAATTCTGAGTATATGTCGAGTGCGCATTTCTAGTCCTAAAAATTCCAGTTAATAGAGGTTAATCCCAATATAATTGGTACTAATATGCTTTTTTTCCTTGCTGGAAACTAACTTTTAAATTCCAAAAATAGATATCAGAAAGAAGCGTGCATTCGTGTGCGTGCTCGCGCGCGCGTTTGTATGGGAGCCCGTGTGCACGCGTGTGTGAAGAATGGATACATAACAGAATGTCATTTTAGCGGGAGCAGGAGTCAGAATGTCTGCGCTCCAGACATCGTACATTCAGATAAACCTTATTGCACTTCTCATTTACGATTGACCAGTGCGAAGTGATGTATTTGAAAGCATATTCTAAATTCAACCTGTATAAGCATAACTTCTTTTACTCTGGACCTGCTGGTGACCTTATGTCCGCAATTTGAATACTAATATTCTTTTTTGCTTCAAGAACAATTTTATAAAATATAATGCATAAAACTCAGTTAAAGAAGGAAAATTATGATAATACTTGTTTCTTTAATCTAGATTTTAGCCCTTCAGAACTATTAACATTATGACCACGCAATAACCTCATTTCTTCGCTACAACATATATCATGCTTCAGCTTTTGTGACAAATGTTATAATGTTAAGATTTCGGGATTTAATTTTACAAGTTTTCTGAACAGAATTATGTTGTAACTCCCGAATATGCATTACTAAGTTTTTGCTGTTCGGTTTGTCGACGCTTAGCATTATGCCAATATAACAGAAATTGTAGTCCTAGAGTATACAAATATTATGTCCGATGGTCTTCCATGCTGTTGAAGTTTGGCATGTGTGTGTTTGTAAATTTTGTAACACCCACAGTCACACGTTCGCCTACGCTTGACCTCGACTGACACTGAATGATACATATATAAATACAGATACAATGATACGATATCGAAGGGGAGGCACGAGGCCCAGGTACAGAACTCTTATCTTCAATGACGTGACTACGCCCGAATATTTATTACAACAAGTTAACATTTCACTGCACATCATAGCACAGCTTGTAATGAAGCCATTAGTACTTGCTCTCGTTTTGTTGGTGGGAATTGCACATTCCCAGATCCCTAAACCTTGCTTTACACCGGCACGATGGGAGGTAAGTTTTTTTAAAGGTTACAGAAAGAAAACAATGCATTTCAAGTATTAAGTATGCAGGTAAACGATCAGGGAGGCATGCTTTATCTTTGCAATTTTGTTTTCACAACACAGGCTAATATAAACATCTAAAAGCACTACCACGGGCTGAGAAAATCGGTACTGCCCAAAAGTGCGTTTTTGAACGTGGAAAGCACTTGAATAGGATTTGTTTGATTATTTGCTTTATTTCACACATGAGATTTTATAATAAAATGACTGTCATATTGATATAAAAGATTGGCCATCTCGTTTGATTCACTCAAGACAAGCAAATTGCCTTTGATAATTAATGAAAACATATGTGAGAAATTGGCTTTAAAAGAAAGAATCACACTCAATAGTTTGATTTTAACTATTAAAACATTTTTCAAGTTCTCTAAATTGTTTTATTTATTTTATTTTGTTAATCTTTTTTGATCAATCGTTCTCTCACAATCTTTAATACAGGCTAAAGCATCTCGTTTCGACCATAACCATGGGAAAATGGAACATTATAGATTTGTCTATGATGCCGTAATGCAGCGTAAAGTGATCTTCGACAACATTCTTTTACACCCAGGCAGGAAGTACGTTCAACCACCACCATCTAAAAGGATGAATTGCATTTTTCTTTTTTTATTTTAGTTCTATTTTCTTTTTACAACAACAATAATGATTATTATTATTTTCAAACTGAACAATAATTCTTTTTGTATTAAATTGTTATTAATGGAATTTAGATTGACGTACGTGTATATATAAAATATATGATAGCCTATATAATAGATGTTAAATGAAAAGACAACGTTCTGACGCTTAACTGGATATTCGGATAACTTGTCAATTATTTCAGACGCTACGAATACCTCATACTCAATGATGTTAATGTAATGTACCGGATCGACCGTCAGAGCAAGAAGTGTGAGAAAATGTTTCCAGGGCCATGGCGACCCTACGGAATTCCACCAATGGCCACTTTTAAAACGGAGTATGAAATCGGTTATCCCGGCGAGGATTTCACTGCACAAGAATGGATATTCAAGGAAAAAGATAGTGATGGTAAGTGGTGTATCAATTGCACCGTCGCAGTCAATAAAGCATTCATGTGATAATTGTAGAGGGAGGACTGGTGGCATCTTGAAAAACCACCAGCGCCCAATGTTACAATGTGACTTTTCTTAATTTAACAATAAGTCTTTGCTTATTGGACATCATCTTACATGCATTATTCGTAGAAGGTGTATTGAACTGTTACATGAAATTAACGTAGAAAGAAATAGTAATGATGACCAATTTGCATTACTTTAACCATGCGTGATACATTTACCCTTTCTTTCGTTTATGATTGATTCCAGCTGTATTATGGAGGGGAGTTTATGGTCTGAAATATTGCTTCCCAGTCGTGGAAACATTTTTCAATCCCAACAACAGATCCGAATCCAACACAATTAACTTCTACGATATAGCTTCAGGCATTCCAGACCCTACTGTGTTTCTACCGCCCAGTGAGTGTAGAGATGCCGTGTTGGTGCACGAAAAACCACCTGCTTATTTCTAGAGAAAATTTATAAGAAGCTGAAGATAAATCATTTTGTTTTTTGCATTAGTGTCAACACAGAAGCTAGAAAAGGTCGTTTACTGTTACTGTCAATGAGGATATATAAAAAGCACATGTTGCAAACTTTTTGGAGGATTTCCGTTATTATTGGATAAGTCTTGACTTGCTTATATGTTTTGTCGAGTATCACATTGTATTATATTATCTCTGCTTCTTATTTTCAATATTTTCAATAATAATGTTAATAATAAATATGAATAAACACTATAAACAATCACTTCTAAATTTACTCTATGTAGTGTTCAAACTTTTTTTCTTTACGAAGCAAAAGAAACCATTATCTCTACAAGAACGGTCTTGTACTCCATCGTGTTCTAGGAATGAATTCGCATATGACACAATTTCTACACCATCGGCTTAAAACTCATATGGTGCAATGAAGTTGCAATGCAGTTATCGTTACGACCTGAATTTGCGCGATTTTCATTATTTTAGATTACTTTGCTATTTTGTTGGTGGTAACAGCAAAATCTCTTTCTTAAAATTATTTATACTCTTTAAAGCATTTTAAAATTTCTCTACGTTATCGAATAAAATCTATTTCGAGCTATTTTATTTCGTCATCTCTAACTCTCTAACATCTCTACCTCTAACTCTTTGTCCCTTTTACTCATTTGATTCCGCTTTAATTTTTATCTGTGATTAGTGAAAGTGTAAGTAATTTGCTTTACAACAAAAACAATTAAAATAACGTACGCTTTGGATATTTATGCTGTATCTCATGCTGCCAAGTAAGTCATCTCTCACCGTTTTGTTGACAGTCTGCTGCAGATGCACCTAGGATGGCCTGTACTATCTTAGCTTGGACAGATATAAGATATTTTTCACTGATTTTAGTCTAAAATGAACATACGCCAGGCCTCTAAGTGAGAGATCTGAGTATCACGGACTTCCATAGGACTGGTAGTAATAAACCCTCTGAACATTGTGGTGATCACTAAGGATAGATAACACATGCCCGTACTTTCCGTCACTTTCAGTTTTCATCTATTCAACCTTTACAATGTCTTTAACTTCCTGTAAGTGTGTACACCCAAATATCGGTAAAATCGGCATTCTTTTAATGGCATGTTATGTCATGTCATTTCCTTATTTTAAAGTAAAATTAGCAAAATTAACAAAGAACACACCAGTTTCAGAAAAAAATGATCTTTAATTTCGATTATTTTCCGATATCTAAATAACGCTATATTTGCTTCCATGAGCATTCCTAAATTTCGTTCACTTTTGCATGCTGAATATATATATATTACAAACAAGGTTTGACAGAAATGATAGTCCTAGGAATGGTAGTCCGGGGTCCCACATGATTTGTAAAAGTTAGGGTAAGTCGTAGTATTGGGGTTAGCATATAGGACGAAAAACAACTGAACAAAGTAATGGGGAGTGAACTACATCAGGCCTACCCAACTACCGGACTCGGCACCGAATGATCCTGAATTCACAGGTAGATCAGACCACTACCCGTTTTCAAGGTGTGTGTCAGATCGCATTACACAGTATGAACAAATTTTGAGTGGTGATGCAATGCTATCACATCGCGTACTAGGCAAGAGCGGTGTCGCGTCTGATACTGTGAAATGCGTACTGATACACACCTTGAAAACGGGTAGTGTGGTCCGATTTACCGGTGAATTCAGGATCATTCGGTGCCGAGTCTGGTAGTTGGGTAGGCCTGTACATGTGCGGTTCCAAGAGGACTACCATTGTTATACCGTTGTTAACTGAATATTTAAACTTCCTCGATATAGTTGCAAGCTCCCTAGTCTAATGTATTCATACCCCTAACGCAGTGTAAAATGATGCCTCCATGAATGTCAAATCATATACTTTTGTCAAGGAATAAAAAAACTGACACTCTTATTTCAGTCATCCGTGAAACAGTTTGTAGAAATGCAGAGAAGCTTTTGTGAGTTTGCTTCGGAATCTGTGAGACTTGTTTGCTTGTGTGTCTTTTAAAAACAATTCTTAAAGAATCAAAAATATATTCTCTTGTAATGCAGTCCTAACATAAAGTTAGACAAGACTCATTTCGGCAAAGAAAATGAAATAATAACCGTTTCTAATTGCGGAGTAGTCTAGGTTCTAGACTTATATCCTTCTTGCTTATTTTCAACCAATAGTTCTAGGTCTGATACATTAACAATTATTCGCAATTCCAAGTAAAATGTTACAGATACACATTTTTGATTAGCGTATCAATCGTAATAAGAGAAATAACAAAATAACAACTGTGATCTATACTTCCCTACCAAAAAGGTACGTGTCACACATACCGCATTCATGCAAATTGCTAGCAAGATACCCGTAGATTTTATTTTACTATTGCGTAGTACCTAGACGGCTGATCATTGTGTAAATTGAGGATGTGAGCATTATTAGCGTACCAAGCTTGACCATTGAAATAATCAACACCGATTATATTATACCGGACAAAATACTACAAACGGGGCTTTCACTTTTTATACTTTGGTTCGAGTATTCATTAGTTGTACAATCAGCAAAAGTTCGAGAAAAAAAAACAGTCGGGAAGTTGAATGGAAACATTAGTTTGTGGCTTGATTTTCTGTATCATTTTACATGTTGAATTAGGGGTGACACTTTTTTGGCAGGGGAGTAGAAATACTTTCCTTAGAAGGAGCTAACAGATCAAATCAACCAACAACCAAGACTTACGCATTAAACTCTTCCATGAATACCCGTTATTTCTTATTCAACCTTCGGTGCATTAAGAAGTAAATTGTTAAAGATACATAGCTGTGGTTACGGAGTATTTCACCCTAAATTATTCATTGAATTTGGGTAGAGTCTCGAATTGTCTTTATAAATCGTCCACATAAATAACAATAATTGTCGTGTACTCTGAATAATTGCCTTAGAAGGAGTTAAAAACACCTAAACCTTTCTTGCGATTACCTTTGCAATACTCTTTCGATTTTGCAATTTTACATCATATTCTTGTGGAAGGGACATCTGGCGATTCCCTCATTTGTTCCTTTGTTCAGCTTCAGTAAGGTGGTCAGAATGGTGTTGGGATCGAAGTAGACTTTCAACTCTTCAATCTGGGGTTTTTCGTTCACAGTGGCGATGGCGCAGCCTTTCATTTCAACCCTCTCGCCAGAGGGCAACACCCCCTTGTAAGGTCCGGTCCACTCGGCCCAGTGCCGCCAAGTAAACGTTACCACAGGCGGACCTAAAAATATGCAACCTTTTGCAAATGTTGTATGGTGTGTCGTGGACACAGAAGGAATCTTTACGGATAAAAAAGGATTTTTTATTCCTGCGTCTGGCAAAAATGCTGACGTGTATGTATATGCGAACATTTCCATTTAAATATCCGTGCAAATTGTTATCAAAACTACAAATGCCACTTTCTAAATCTCTGTTCAACGTATAATTTTTGTCAGCTTTATCTCAATTCTAAAACTTAATACAAAGTCTCCAAAACGTAAATTGTGCAAACTATTTAACAGTCCCAACAAAAAATTAAATTTCCCATTCCAACTTTATAGCAAAATCATTTAAAAGAAGAGGTGAAGTAGTTGCACAACCCGTAGCATTTTTTTCTGTAAATTGTGATTACCAACTATTATACAAAATATTAGTTTTTGTTCACAATCCATGTTTTTGATAAACTTACAGATATTTCAAGAATTTGTATACTTCGAATATTTCTACTGTATTTGCAACTGAGCTAATGCATCTGTTCTTGTTTTTATTGTTCTTTGTCATTCTTTGTGCAAATGTTTTTAATAAACTTGTCTGTTAAAAATTCTGTTGTTTATAAATGAAAATAATGAAAATTGTAGGTTGACTTTACTTGCACATACAAACGTTAATATAGCATGGTGGTACAGTGCAAACTACTTTAAACGCTGATTCAGCATTCTATACTGGTGCCAGGAACGACAAACAACGGCTGATCAACGTATAATTTGAGACAACGTCTGACCTGTTTCACTGTCTATCGTTGTCTGATTTGTTGTGTTTTCTAACTTGTTTCGATGTCTGACTTGTTTTGTTGTGTGACTTGTTTCGCCGTCTCACTTCACGCGGGTGCACAGTTATTTTACATAATTTTGCTTGAACATTGCTAACAACCCAACGATGTTTCTGAAACTTCAAAAGCTGGTTATGCATTCCATACTAGATTGGAGAGACGAACAGTGACTAACTCTATCGTTGTCTGACTTGTTTCGTTGTCTGACTTGTTTTGCTGTCTGACTTACTTCTTCCTACTTCAAGCCGGTGCACTGTCATTTTACACAGTTTGCTTAAACATTGCTGATTACTCAACGCTGTTTCTTAATCTTTAAAAGCTGGTTCTGCATTCCATACCAATATTTAGAAAGACAAACAATATCTGACCTGTTTCGTTTTCTGACCTGTTTGTGTTGTCTTGGCCTATTGATGCGTGCGTTGGCATCCTTGGGGGATATTTGAGGAGAAAAAAGTGTGTATTTTTGTCGATTCAGGACCTAAAGGCACCCAATTTGCCAAATTATACTATGATAACAATGATAAATAAGCTGGTTCTGCATTCCATACTGGTATTTGGAAAGTAAAATAATGGCTGACTCAACCGTTGTCTGATCTGTTTCAATGTTTAACCTTTTTCGCTGTCAGACTTGCTGTCGCTGTCTGACTTGTTTTCGTTGTCCCACTTCACGCAGGTGCCCTGTAATTTTACATAATTTTGCTTGAACATAGCCAACAACATAACCTTGTTCCCGAAACTTTAAAAGCTGGTTCTGCATTCTATACTGGTTTCAGGAAAGACAAACAATGAGTGACTCGATCGTTGTCTGACATGTTTAGCAGAATGACTTGTTTCCGATGTCTCACATTACGAGGGTGCACTGTTATTTTACATTGCAAGCTTGTTCATTGCTATTTGTTGAAATACATATTTGTTCTAGTCTGACAGTGCTATGAGACAGAATAACAGAAATTGTCCAGGTCACTGTAGGCATGCGTTGGCATTTTTTATGATTCGGGACCCTAAGGATACCAAATGATAATATGGTGAAAATAACGATAAAAAATCAATCAATATATCAAAGGTAACANTAGGGGGTATTACTGATTTATTTTTAGTCAAAAATTTTGGCAGACCAAATTTTTGACAGATTTCTGATTTGTTTGTCAATAACATAGTACAGTCGCTGTGTTTGATCTATGTAGGCACAATATTAGAAGAGCTAATGGGAAAATCAACAGGTTGGATGTTATGCAAACACCCTTAGACTAACTCTCTTCTTAGACAGATAAAAACCTTGATAAACAAATGATTAGATCTATCATTGGATTAAGAGATCATCATGAACAAATTTATAATAAATATATTATTTAATACGTTTTGATTTGGGAAGATTAGAATATTACAGTTTCATTAATTGATAAATATTTATTTTGTATTTTATACAAAAATGGGTTTTTATTTTTCCCTGATGAAATCAAAACCTTTTAGATCAGTTGCACAAATGATTTTCATTCACAGAGAAACGCAATTAGTTTTTTTCCTAACCATCACTAGGCAGATAGGCTAATACATCATATTATAGTGATCCCTTTTGTAAATGATTGTTTAGATTCTTAAAAATAATTGCAATGCAGATGCTATTAATTTATCTTTTACCTCTCTTTTTTTTTTTAAATCCTTAGTATGTGCCCTGCTTTATTTTTTTTACAAAATTTGATATACAAATATAGATTAAAACCAATTGTATTACAATCCAATTTTGAGATCTATGGAGATATGACTTAACATTATTATTTTTTAGAATTAATCAAAACGATTTCATTACCACTTCCATTTTGGTAGTCAAACATCTAAACTTCAAAACTGTAAAAGATATTTTACCTTAGGAAAAAAAACTTCCTTATTTGTGTATTTTGATCACATTAATGCAGTGATAAATGCTGTCTTAAAGCACTTGTAAGCTGTATTTTGAGATGACATCGCTCCCAACTTTTTCCTCCTCTTTTTTAGGTCGCTGTGAGACAGTTGGGACCCTGTTAGGGAGTAACGCAGGTGTCATGTCTCTCGATGTCAATACAGAGGTGAGTAAAGATTAAAACATATGTCATGATAAACACACATGATGTTAAAACTTATGTCAATTTTGTAAAATGTTGTGTGAAAGTGTTGATTATATGGGCTCTTTTTTTCTAATTCAAGGAATTATTCTAATTTTAGGAAACCTTGATTCTTGGTGCTTCTAATGACTTTGCTAGTCGAGTTTGGTCACTTCAAGATCACAGGTTAAGGGTGAGTGGACCTCAAGACTTGTACTCACACACATGCATGCAAAAACATGTACACATTCATAAACACCTGTTCATATTTCCTACGATAGGTTTTTTTTCTATAAATTACTTAAGGTAATAATAGCATGTTAAATTCACTGGACTCTATATATTTGGTATTTCTATAAAAATCCATAAATTGAAATGTTCTTAATGTCAATTTTTGATATAAAATTATTTGTCATATTATCACTCACCCTGATAAGGTGTTAGCAGTCACATTTTTGACATAGATTCCATAAAAAACATTTGCCTTCAAAGTTCAAAGTTTAAGACAGTATCTATCACAAGTTCCTTATGAGCTCCTGTTAACATTTTATGACCCATATTTCCAGCATACACTGACAGGACACAGTGGGAAGGTATTGGCTGCCAAGTTTCTGGGGGATTCCAATAAAGTTGTCTCAGGAAGTCACGACAGGACGTTAAAGATATGGGATCTAGTCAGCAGGGCATGTGAGTCACCTATATATCATGGCATATATTTACTAAAATTACAGATACATTATTCTGAAGAACAGTATGGAATGCTAATACTGGCTAGTAAAATCACATCGAGTAAGTTAAGTGTTGTTCCCTCTATTGCTGGTCAATGTTTCTACTTTTGTTAATAAATCCTTATGACCATTAGGCCTGAAGTGTCAGGAGGCTAAAAAGGTTTTGCATAGAAGTATGTGTAGAAATCTCAGGCTGAAATGCCCCCCTGTATAAGGTCAGATGGTTTCATAGCTGTGTGTTTCATAACTGCAGAGGTGCCTATACCTTGAATTATACCAATATATAAGTTTTAACAGGCTTTAGAGGAACAGGTCCACTCTGACTTGAAATATGAACTAGGTTCTATTTCATTTATCAAATTTGGTCAACCAAGGGGGTGAAAAGGGTCCATTTTTTTCAGAAATTAAAAAAAAAATCATTGGAATTTCTGTTTACGAGCAAGTCAAACATACATGTCATTTTTTTTTTTTGCTCAGGCATCAAGACAATATTTGCTGGCTCCAGTTGTAATGACCTTGTCACATCAGACGGGTTCGGCAGCAACATCATCAGTGGCCATTTTGACAAGAGGATACGTTTCTGGGACACCAGGTCTGAGTCCAGCGCCAATGAGATCTCTCTGCAGGGGAGGGTCACATCACTGGATCTGTCACCAGGTAAGGAGGGCTGGGGACACTAGTTAGGTTTATAAACTGTAGGTGGCAGCACAGTACAATGAATGACTCTCTCACTCTCACTCTCTCTCTCTCTCTCTCTCTGCAACGAGGGTCTGGAGACACTATTCAGGGGTATGTGTTTGAACTGTAAGAGCCAGCACAATACACTGAAATAATCTTGTCTTGAATAATCATTCTCTATCTTAAGTCTCTATTAGTTGCAAGTAGAATGCATATTTTAAACATCCAATATGGATAATGTTTTATTTGACTATATAAGACCCAAATTCATCTCCCTTTTGCAGATCGTAACTATCTCCTAAGTTGTTCAAGAGACGACACTTTAAAAATCATCGACCTTCGCATGAACCAAGTGACAGGGACTTTCTGCACTGGAGGATTTCACGTGGGCTGTGATTGGTCGAGAGCAGTGTTCAGTCCTGATGGAGAATACGTGACTGTAGGGGGCGGTGACGGCACAGTATTCATTTGGGACATTAAAAAGAACAAGGTTGAGAGGCAGCTGAAGGAACACAAGTGAGTGGAGTTGGATCTTTTTATTTTCCTATTTCCTTTTCCAATGTCGTATTCCAGCATGTAATATTACTATATACTGTTATAGCTGTGGTGACATTCTTTCCTTCTTTCTTTCTTTCTTTTTAAATTTTTGTAAATATTATTTTAGAAACTTTTTTGAACACCATTTCCACATAAAATAATGCTCACTTGCCAAGAAAATTTTAATATTCATCAGCCTTTTACTTAAGGTAAAATGAAAATAGTATTAACAAATATTGCTCATGCTAACATCAGTCAAGTTACCAACAGGTTTCTTTAATTTGCACCAATTTGGCTAGTTTCATTGTCAGAGCAATGGACAAAAGAACTTCAATTCCATTATTGAAAATTGAGCTGAACATTTTGGATTAATAGAACTCAAGGCTGTAGAAATTAATGTTATGTTCTTGCATTGACTATTCTCTTAATTGTGATAGGTGAGATGTTTTACATTATCACATCCAACACAATCAGTGTTCTCAACTAACACAATTTCTAATATCAGTGTAACCATTTTTCCTTTCAGTCATTCTGTGGTAGCATGTTCTTGGCATCCAGGAGGATCAATGATTTTAAGCTGTGATAAACAAAAGAAGGTGATTTTGTGGTCAGACTTCTAAGTACTGCCAGAAAGCAATGAAGCAGGAGGACAAGCACACACAGATTGTGTCCCAGAAGTGGTAGTAAGCACAACTAACACAATGAGATATGCTGGTTCGTCAGTAAACTGGGAAGTGATTGTGCAGCTAGCTCAACAACCACAATCAAATTGGATTGAAAATGATAAAATCTGCAAATAAGAGATAATTGACGATCATATCAAGAATTGCTTGGTACACTATGTGGACAGGGTTGTGCTATTTTTGATTGTGGTCATGATATGTTAAATGTGAATTGTTAAGATATTTGCCTCATAAACCTAAATTGCCGAGAAGAATTTTTATTGGGTTGTGGTAAAGTTAAAAGTGTGGCATATATGTCATGAGTGAAAACAAAGTGAAAAAAACGTGAAGAAAACATATCTCAACTTCAGATCCAAAATGGCAATTCCTGTTCAGTACCTAATTTCTGTCATATATTAACCTGTATATCTATATTTAGTAAACCTGTTAAATATGGTGATAAAATCATGACATACTTGTTGAAGCTTATAAGAGCCAGTAAGTAAGCCAAGATGTCTATTGTAAGAGCTTATTTTCATAAAAGTAAAAATGAATGTGCAGAAATTGATTTTCTATTGAACTTGTTGTAAAGGATGCTAATATATTGCTTTTTTTAATCCCAAAGATAAATCCACAAATATCTAAAAAAAGATCTTACCTACAATCTAGAAGCCTGCATTAAGCCCATTCTCGTCATTGTTTGTTTTGTACTAAATGTGTTGCCTATAGGTAATGTAATCTTTTACATTATTTGTGTACCCCAAAAGATGCTTTTGCTTATTGCATATTTATTAAAGGAAGCGCTTTTCCCAGCTATATGTTGTGTTGTTGTATTGTGTTAGTGAGGTGCAATTGTTTTTCCCATGTATGAGCACTTGCATGAAATGTAACACGAAAAAGTGAATGATTTTATGGTGGACTCCTTTAGAAACTTGGTATTGTTTTCCAGAATTTGCTTTTTATTGTTGCCTTTTCTGTGTGCAATTATTTAGTATTGCATAGTGGTTTCATCATGCAATTGCAAAGAACTAAAGTCAAAGAAGCACCGTTGTGGTGTCCCAGTGTCAGATATAAAGGAGATATTGTACATTTTGTAAATTTTTGTGTAAATTTTGATGTGAAAATGAGAATAAAGAAAAAATTAATCCGATGACTCATGTTCAAGTGATCTGGTGTAAAAGTTTGTTGTATTATTTTTTATGTGCAGACACTGCGTGTCTCTGGATGTTTGGTGAGCACTGCGACTCCCTGCCTTCACTGCCTGACGCATCACTCCCTTTAACTGCCAAACCATATTTTTGTTTCACTTTGGGGTGTCTTTGTGGTAGTTCAAGGCCTTTTCAAATATCCAGGAATGGTTAAAGTAACATTCATATATATTTCAGAGGTGGACAGTCATCAGAAATTATAATAAGTTTGTTAAATATCAAAAATCCAGAAAAGTCCTATAGAACAAAATTTAGAATGTACTATCAAAAAGCGAGAATGCAAATTGATACGGATTAAATTTATAAATGTTGATTGTTAGAAAATATTAAAGATATATTCTGTCAGCAGGTTAAACATTTTACGGTAATATGCCAAACAATTCGACCAAGATTAATTAATTAATTTCATGGAAATGTCAGTTTGGTCGAATTGATTAAAATACAGCAAATGGAAACCTTTGATATCGTCGGATTGTTAGGGGCATCTGCCAAAACGTCCATCTTTCCGGAAGTATTGCATTTTACCGGAAGTGTTACGCAAGATAAGCCGCAATTTTCGCCTAACATGTGTTACAGGCATGTTTTATCCTCCTGAAAACTTATTTTGCTGTGTACAATATGTGCTAACATTACTTAACATTAAAAAAGACGACAATTATAATTTTTAATTATACATTTCCCTCACCTACGATCACTTTCATGATGCGCTTCACAAGTTGGACGAGTATTTCCCCGGAGACGTATATGCCCAAATCTCAAAGTACTAAAATTGTGACTTCTGTACATATTTGAAAAGCTTTGAAACCATTTCAATTTTAAATATCTGCAGTTGTCATAGAAAACCGTCAATCCCAAAGACGAGGAGACAAGTATTACATTTCAGATTGAATTTGAATAAAATATAGACATTTTTAAAAACATGTTATGGGATTTTTACAAGAAATACCATTTTAAAAGAGAATTGCGCTGTAGTTTTACTCTCCAATGCATATCCCGGGAGAGACATATCTTTTGGTCTTATCAAACCCAAAACTGAAATTACTGTCGATATGATGTTACTTCATTGTAGCTCTTATATATGTATAAAAAATATTGAAGGACGTCTTGGCATTACAATTTAAATAAAAATTTAATTTCATTTTTGTGCTCGTTAATAGTAATATAAAAAGTTATAAAACAATGAAGACACGATGGAAAAATATCAGACACAAAACTGTTGTGTTAGTAAGAGAAGCAAAAAAAAAACTCAACCAAATCATTTTGATGTAAGCCAATAACATTCCTTTCTCTATAACAAGACCTGCTCGGTTAAAATGCAAATGATAGCTTGAAAGTCTTGTATGACATATAAAATATAAAATTTTCGGGAATATACCTCTAAAGTTGAAAAGGTATTCTTTAAAAATAAAGCACAGACGATATTTTATATTTCATCTTGCGTCCTTGTGCTCAATAGTTAATATATTAATAATTCTGTTACAAAAATAAGAGACATTTTAAATTTTACCTCTAAAAATATAAAGGTAATAGGGGCAGTACCATGAAGAGGAGTGACAAACACGTGGCCCTTAAACCGTTTACACTGTTCACACTGTTTTGTGTTTTGAGTGTAGGACATGGAGCTGATGACGTCTGTGTTACGTCATCCTCGTACTGCCACGTGCCGCAGCGCGGGAAGTTCCGTGGCGGCTTGGGAAGATCTTCCGGTTCGCCAACCTTAACTATAAGTCCCATTCCAATTTCAACGTGATATTCGATGTGACAGTGCAAAAGCCAGGCACCTGCAAAAGTAAATACAGCATACTAATATACCTGTGTTTATTTAAATGTCAACATTACAATTCATTCGAATTCACTACTGGCACAGTTTGACATATCATTATACGTCGTGATTTCCGTTAGCTAAACGTGACTCTCTTTTTTAAAATTGATTGCCATGACAAACATCAGCGCTGTATTGTAATATTTGTCGGGGAAAAAATTGAACACGTTTTAAAATGATCGCTTTTGTAGCCACTTGATTTCTGAAGATGACATTTACGTTTTTAAGAGTGTCCACATTGTAGACGACACAGCTAAAACGGACAAAAAGGACCGAACAAACAGAAAAGGATGCAACACTCGGCTGACAGTGTAATAGCACATAAGAATGGAAGATATAGGCCTATATAGAACAAGACCGGGAAATAATTTAGAACCAAATCGGCCGTAGGGTTTAATGAGAATAGAACAGTATTCAACGGGCTTTACCTGGATTTGTAGCGTGGAACCGTATGATGGTAAAACCTCCATCTGGCACCGTGACAGAATCCTTCTTCACGGCACCTTTGAGCTTACGTGGAATCTCTCCATTTCGATCCATCTGCTTTATCTGTTCCACTGTGACAGACTGATTAATCTGGAGAAGAAGCATCTTCCATCTGATACATATACAAGTAAAAGGTAATACACATCAGCCGAAAACGGCATTTACTATTAAATAAATATATCTATACGATAATAAATTTTGTGTATTTTTTATAAATAAATATATTTATATCAAGCTTTTTTCAGGGATATGAATATACATTACAACCATCAGACCAATGGGTTCTTATTGAATAGAATTTTTCTAATTTATCTTGGACTCTAAGTCACGATCAACTTACATGGGTCTGTTACGAATTTTTTAGGCATAATGACTGCCGTCAACGAGCATTTTGCGAATGTTAATTGCATATGTGAATGAACAAATTTGACCTGGTCTCAAATGAGCTTTAAACTGGCTGCAAGTTTCTTGTTTGGTTTCGTACCTTCCGCAGCGCCACCACGCGGAAAGCAAAGCCGTGAAGATGCATGGGGTGATTGGCGTTAAAGGCGAACCCTTCGTCCACCATGACGATCTCGACTACCTGTCCTAGCTTCACCTCTAACATGTGAACACATTCGCAGTAGGTTTCTGTACAATTAGAGCGAGTTTCTTCGTTGCAGAACAAATCCTGAAATACCATTTATAGGAAAATAAAATCGGGGCCGCCGCGTTTCTTCAGAAACAAAAGTTCTGAAACACCCAAGCCTTGGGAAGGTATACTTTTCATAGTTTATCCAAAACATGACGAAGGTTTTTATAAGTGTTGTTAAAGAATAAGAAATCAACTGGAAATAGGTCTGGGAGATCATATCATTATATATATTTCATTTCTTTGCGCAATGATAAGTATTGCATAATGGTTTCATCATGCATTTGCAAGAAACTACATGTAGAGCGCAACATTATGTTCAAGAAGATTACATGAATTTTATGTTATTTCCCAGTTGAAAAATTGCCTACTGTACTGACTGCAATGGTCTGCAATATTAGTCAAAAGCGTAACCGATACAAATTGCTGGAAATGATGTCATGCGTTTGCCTGTAAATAAGGTTTCATTTATAATTATTATGTAAATGGGACAGGGATAGAAATAATGTGTACCTTTGGAATGTCCCCATATTGTGTCATAGGCGGGGAAGGAGGGAAAATGTTAGAGATATGGTTGATCTGTGGCGAGTACAAATGACGTCCCTTGTCTATGGCACTGACTGGGTAATACATGGGGTTATGGAAGAGTTCGTTGTCTATTTTGTTAAAATCCATAGCCAAGTAGAACTTGACGTCAGGCTCCTCTTGCGACGTGGCGTCATCTGGGTCGGTGTTGTTCAGTTGCACCACGGGAATGTAGTTGTCGTCTGCTTTGGTGTTCCACGGGTTCAGTTGCTTAAAATGCATGAAATGGTATAACATACAGTAGTTAACGGACGCAAAAGCATGTTACATTTTCAAACGGAAAAATGGAATAAAAACGAAAAATGAAATCCAACCACGTTTTAAGGTATATATTTAGCCATTCGAGGCCAAAAAATGTCACTTTTTGTTACGATCGTTGTAACTATTCCTTACCTTTCCACTGCGCATCATGTTTTCGTAATCAGTTGGGGCTTTAGGATCCTCAATCGGTGCCCCATTATAGCGTAATATTGCCACCTGTTTCGCTTTTTTATTGGCACAGTCGGCAAGACCAACCACCCGAATCCAGTAGTTGTCGACTCTGGCGTTTGCGTTAAGTACAAAGTCGTACCGTTCCCCGGCAAATATATTGAACGATTCGATCTCAATTGG